GTTCTTACAGTCATTATGTCTTCTCCTGCAGTGAGTCGGTTGTAAAACTGTACCAGGGTTCTGTCTCTGAAATAGTAAGACACGCAGATGGGGGATGTCGCCGAAGTAGTGCTGAGGAGTCAGAGAACCCTGAATCACTACTTGGGTTAATCTGAAGTCGTACCTTATGGTATAAATATCATGATACCAGGAGTACTGTATATCAAATTCTACATAAACCCGAACTTTCCTTCTGTGCGCTTAACGGTTTTGTAGCACTCACTTGAAAAGCAACATTGCTTTAATAATCATATGGTGGGGAGTTCACAATTTCAGGGGCAGTGTTACTGCATTTTAATGTAACTTACAACACGTCACCAAGGAAAACACATATTCCAAACCCTGTAATTCAGATGTCTAATAGGAGCTGTATTATGCAACAAATTCTCTGAATATATTCCAGATCTCATTCTCTCATGACTTGCAAATCATAAAAGCCATGATGTAAAAAAAATGCACAAGGAGTTTTTCCATGCAAGATTAGAAAATATTTCAATATACAGTAAGTTATTTCCCAGTTTGAAAAATAAAAAGAATATCTAAATGCAAAGCATCTCATTACATATTGTCTGATTCTGAGTTCATTTGTGTTTTCCTTTTGTTTTTTTGTTTTTTTTTGTAAACATCAGCAGAAAGCAGCCCCTGGGGATTCTGGATAAAAGGAAAAGAAAGAGAGAGAGAGAGGAAAAAAAACTTAATTAGGACTTTTGCCTCCAGGTTTTCTAGCTGATGGAGTTGACCTTTTATGCGACTTCTTCCAGACGTATGGTTAAGTTCGAATGTGTGAGGATAGCAAGTACATAATATCATCAACATAAACCTTTCCAAAACCAGCTTTTTAAAGTCTCTTTGAAGTGAAATGCAGGAGGAAATAATAGTGTTTTGTGAATACCAGAAATCTGAACTACATGGAACCCCCTGGCTTCAGTCCTGTCTTGGATATTAAATATTGCTGACTAGGGGGTAAGTTAGCCAATTAATGAATAATAAATGGGGCTGGAATGCAACATTTTCATATCCTTTATAGGTCAGAGTGTGCTGAGCCAGAGCTGCTGGTACCGCTGGGCATCATGGTAAAGCATTGCAATCTCCACACAACTGCACCTAGGAGCCATGTCAGTTACTGCTCCACCCACACTGCATGCAACTAGAACGACAAGCTGAGAGGGCATAATAAAAGTTAGTGCTTTCCTGTTTCTCTAACTTTTTCCTTCCCATTTCTTGCAGTGTTTTCTCCTTTCATGACTGCTTGTTAGTCTTCACTCAACCGTCTTTGTGCGTTATTTTGTTGAAGCCAGAGACAACATCCTGTTAAGTTCTAGCCTGTATCTGCTCGTGATGAGCAGACCCGCGGGCGCAGCTGACGCCCTTCCGCAGTAAACAAAAACAACAACAATGGGCCAATTACAGACTGGTGCTTCACAACCTCTACTTCATTCTCTGTTATCTTCATTATTCAGTTCCTCTCGAATCAGCTATTAAAGGTAATTAAGCGATTCATCAAGTCAGTTTCAATTACTGGGAGCTTGACAGCTGCAGATTAGAATCTGTGGGGGTGAGGGGGATAGACGGAGTGAGAGAAGTAGGCATCAAAAAGTGAAGCGGGGGAAGCACTAACAGTTTAGGTGGCGCTGAGATGGGCAACACGCTTCCTTAGATGTTGTGTTACTGTGGCCACATGATCGTCCAGTTTGTCCCCGTGGATCAACAGGCCTCATTGCCACCACCCACTCATTCAACATGTGCTCAGTTGCCAGTTGACGGCCTTTGATACTAAATCAGCCACACTGTCATTACTCTGTCATGACTAGTAGAACTGTAATATTAAAGTTTATGATGAATAAAAGTGCTCTCGTACTCTCTCATGCAATCACAGCACATACAGAGCAGGAATAAATTCGCCGCCTGACACAGAGTGCCCAATCGTTAAAAAAAAAAAAAAAGCTCACATGTACTGAAGAATCATAAAATGTTCTCACTACTAGTGCAACCTAATTTATGACAACCAGTCACCAGCTTGGATTTAGGTGTGTGTTGTAGCCAAGAGCAACCCAGGATGTGAACCCATCAGGCGGGGCAAAGCGCGGCTTCAATTTATGTTTGGCCGATTAACCCTACATTCTGCCTGTACAATTTTAGACGCTGGGTTAAGGAATAATTCATTTGGAGGAGGCCATCATGCCTCTTAGTTGTCCATTAGAGTCTGGTTTACCACCATCTTAATAGCTATCATAAGTCTTCCAGCTCTGGTTGTAATTGCTGAACTAAATATTGAGAAACTGCTAAAATATCTCACAGTATAGTGAAAATCCAAAATAAGACACTTTTTTTAATCCTACGAGACCCCTGCTGTTATAGAAACACAAGATTCCCTAACAATTTATTTCAGGTGAATGTATTATTAGTATTGGGAAGGTAGGATATACTGTGTCTCCAACAGCCTAGAATGACAATGAAGCTATTTTTTAGCACCACAGCAACACACTGATCACCCAGATTGATAAATTCAGTCACTTTTATCTGTTATCAGTTTTGCCCTATCGCTGACCTGTGTAAACCTTTGTTTTTTAAAGTTCCCTTTAGTTACTTAGCTGTTCTAGTTTTAAGAGCTGGGTGATGTTTACTCAACTGAGTGTTTAGGCTTTATTTATCTAACTGAACTGAAATTGTTGATATCGAATAAATCTCTACCGGTATTGTCACAAGAAATACTTGAATTAAAAAATGTGGTAAGATACTACTAAACTTCTCTCATTTTGTATTTTAAAAACACTTTCATTCTGGAGATGTACTGTAATTTCCCTTCATGGGATCAATAAGGTTTCATTAATTCATACTGTATGTTCAAACAATACAGCCCAACATGTACAACAGCTGAAGTAAAACTACAGAGAGCAGATTAACAGCAGAGATCAGGAGCAGAAAGAGGTCAGCTACTCTGATATCAGTCAATCAAATGGGACCAACTGGGACCCTGATCCAATACTTGAGATCAGCATGGGACATCCCTTAATGTTATTCAACCTCAGGCACTTCTCTTGCTTTGTCTTACTGCAAGCTAAGTCCAAGTTGGCAAACTTTAAAGGAAGTTCATAATGCATCAAAAGTGAGTTACTTCCCGTCTGCATGTTTTTATGATTCATTAAGTTTTAATGTTTCTGAGGACGTGCCGCTAGACTTCGACTTTCACACCGTCCTCAAGAGCAGTGATCCAAGAGTTTTATCACAAAAAGACAAACATCCAGTTAAACTCTGCTTGTCTGAAGTGGACTATGGATGGAAATTGTCATGAATCTGGAATCTCAATAATCAGACATCTAAATTGCAGTGATATCCAAATTAGTCATATGTCCCTGAAATGTGACCCGTGGTTTCTAGTGTAAACTAAAAAAACTAAAACAAAAATAGGCTTTGTAGAATATTAGGTACAATGGCCAATTTTATTTTCTTTCAGTTCAAAAGATGGAGTAATAACCTTTTAGAAAACAAATCAGACAAAGGAAAGAATTCCAGCAGCAGGCTCCCATCACCCATTCATTGTAAATTAAACTCAAATTCTGCCAGAACTTTTAAAATACAGAAGGTGCTGGAAAATGGATTTTATAATTTCTAATCTTCTTAGAATACTTCAAGTAGCAATATCTTTACAGCATGTTTCTCTTGTTTCTCTAACACTCTCCACAGATGTAAAGCTTTTTTTACACCATTGCACACCAGTTTTTGACATTTTATTGGCATCAAGACAATGTGTTGGAAGGAAGCAAGTATTATTTCATGTTGAACTACATCGCAGGGCCTACATGATGGGCTTTTTGTGTGACTGTTGCATGTTTTCTCTGTCCCTGAGTGGTCTTACTTCCTTAGAAAGCTCAAAAACCTGTATGGTAGTACAAATGTGATTCTAAATTGACACTGGTGTTAGCATGTGTGATTGTCTTTTGGTGACAGGACTTGGAAGGACTGGTGATGTGCAGGTTGTACCTTACATCAGACTCCACTTCAGTTAGAATGAATTGTAGTACCCTGGGACTCTATACAGAAACGTCTATAAAAAGATACACTGACTACGTTGCTCGCGGTAGCCTAGAAGAGTACAGGCATAGTACCACAAATAATGGTATGTTTTTTTATTCTAGGATACAGCTGGAGAGACAAAGCCAGTGCACCTTCAATGGTATTTTCTAGGGATGCACGATATATCAGCATTCATATCGGTATCAGCCGATATTGGTCATTTTTACAGAATATCGGTATCGGTCCGAAATGTAAAACTAGGCCGATATTAAAATCCAGTATTGATTTCCCACTTTTAGCTTTGTGTTTCTGTTTTGGAAGGGGAGATGGTTGGCTGAGCAGCATCTGTTTGATCATGATATTGATACTGATGCTGCGTAGCCAGGAATAACTGAAGTGGGGAGCCATGTCAGAGGTCTGGTTGTTTATTTGTGGTATCAAAAAAAGACCCAAGTGTGTTTGTGTGTATATGTTTAATATAATTTGTGTGTTTGTGTAATATCGGTAAATATCGGTTATCGGCAATAACAGCATTAATTACTGTATATCGGATATCAATAACGGCTGAAATTTTGATATCGGTGCATCCCTAGTTTATTCTTGTACTTTGATTTCTAACTATGTAAAGATATGCAGAATAGAGCTAATAGATGTAAAAGTTCAGTAATGATGACTAAGAACCTACTAAAGAAAACTGCAGCTTTTAAAATTTGTAATTGTGCAACGTATCTAGCTCTATATATTGTTTAGGATTATTTCAATAGTTTATTAATTTGCAGATCTTTTTGTGAAGGCAGCCACTAAGACAGCACTGAGTCTAAAACAAAGTTTCCAAACAGGCAACTGAAATATGTCATATCATATTTTATTCTACAGTGAAAAGTGTGATATTCATGATCTATTTAGTTAACAAGCATCTTGTAACTCAACGCATTCCTCATACATACCCAAATTGGAGGAGGCCCGTCCCTCTGCAGCCCTGTCCTTCAGTCCTTCAGCGATGGACAGCTGCTGTTCATGGTACTGCTTGGCCCTCTCCAAGTCTTGCATGCAGCGTGCAGCGTGACCTAGCCCTGCGTATGCTCTCATCTCAATGGATTTTTCTTCCAGCTCCTGGGCAAGCTCCAGAACATGAGTGTGGTAGGACATAGCTTTATCAAAATTACGATGGTAGTGGTAGGCACTGCCTAGGTTGCTGTATGCCCGAGCTTCCTCTCGTTTATTTTCCAGGGCTTTGGCTATGCCTAAATGTTGTTCATGACACTGTACAGCATTATCAAAGTCTCCCATGGCGATGTAGACTGCCCCCATGTTTCCCAGCTCTCGAGCCTCCGACAGCTGATCCTTGGACTGCTTGGCCAGGAGGACACACTGCTTGTGGCTAGCGAGGGCGTTTGGATAGTCCCCAATGGCTGTATATACATGGCCCAAGCTGCTCAGCGCCATTGAAGCTGCCTACAGAAAGACAGGTAGAAAAACAGGCACACAATGAGTAAGAAAGTAAAGTAATAAAATGCAGAAAAAAAGGCCTAATTAATTATACAAACATTCCATTAACAACAAGTAATTTTGTTGGCTCTGCATCACAGATTTCAAACACTCAATAAAATGTCCCTTTAACCAGAAGAACTGTACATCAAATGTGAGGGAGAAAAAAAAATAAATTCCTAAGACTCTAAGGAGGCCAAATGTTCAGAGACCAAACAACAAGCAAAAGCTGATTTGATTTTGTCTGTGCCGAGAAAGGAGGGGGGTAAAGTGTGATGCAGATCAGCACAGCAGCAGGCTGGCTTTAATGCAGTCAGTTTGCCCACTGCAATCATGCCTCATGGCGTGCCACCACAAACGGAACAAAGGCTTTGCTAATCAGGCGAGAGAGAAGGGAGCTTTCAGCTTCACACTAGAGCTGTGGGGGGCAGCAGACTGGAGACAAGACTTTTCAAGCTATAAACATCCAGAGCAATATTCTGTGTATCGTAATCCACTCAACCCTCCATTTTCTCAACCGGAGTCCATCTGAGAAAGTCAAAACCACAGAGAAAACGGACTAAACCTGAAAACAGTGAGGGACACAGTGAAACGCAGAGGGTTCATGGAATGCAGTCTTGACCTCTCATGTGACACGTTCAATGCGGGCTTATTACCTGGTTATATGGAGGATAAACAGTTGGGAATGGGGGTCAGTTGTCTTTGCATGAACAGATGTTCAATTAATCATGCAGGGGCAAATAATAAATCATATCCTTCCCAATGTTCCACTCTGCATTCACCAGCCAGAAAGAGGGCTGGAGAGAGGCCAGCAGATAGGTGAGACACCCTGCCAGGGAAGGCCACAATACTGCTTTTCTTGCATAGCTTCAGGATGTTAACATTTGAAAGTCAGCAATAGTAGGGAGGGAACTTCTACAGGAGATAGGCATTTTTGAAAGTCCTTTTATTGTCACATTATCTAAAATGTTTCACTGCTACTTGCATTAGCCTGTAAAGAACCCATCAATTTGAACTTTACTAATAATTATATATTATTTTACAGAACACATCGTTATGGCAATGGGTAAAATATACTGTATATTTAAAAAAAGGAGATTTTTTTCACTTTGCTTAAAGAACAAGAAAATAAAGTTTTGATGTTTGGACACTCTTGAAAACATTTATAAAGACAAAATCTTCTCTTGGAATATTTCATTCATCCTTTCTCCAAATGCAGAAATACACAAAAAGCTATCTTTCCTTCATTTCACATAGCTGCTGATGCCTGGAACCAATTACCTGCTGACATAAGGACTTCCAGCAGTTTTGCTCAAGTTTAAAGACTCGACAAGGCATTATATGAGCCCGGGGAGGCAATTACCCTCCGTCACAACTGTTGCTGTTTCATGTTCCCAGATAGCCTATCTAGAGCTGCTCAATTACATGTGCCTTTTGAAGCTTCGCTCCATCTCTCCGACTCAAACTTCCACTCTTTAAGCAGAAAACAGAGCATTGCTCATCTCTGTCTGCCTTCAACCAAGCACAGTGGGGAGGCAGGCGGTAGGGGGAGAAAGCAAGGGGGGAGGGGTGCAATCTAGTGGAGATGAGTTGTTCTTGTGATCAGTGTCCCTCTAAAGTGAGACTGCAACGCAGCATTTTCTCCTCAAATGGGAGCCAAGATGGGCAGATAATGAGGATCCAGCCCTGCCAGTAACCGAGGACGCCCTGTGTTTGGCTCAGAGAAGGACAACTGGGACCATATGAATATTGCTCCCCTCTGACTCGGTTCCCCATTGCCACTGCTCATTTTGACTCCCCTCCATTATTGCAAAAATTTTTGTCTGGTGGAAAAATAATTCAACAGAATGCATAATTCCCACCAAACTGACTTCATTTATTTATTTTTTTTATTTTCAGTTTCTCTTTTGCACTTATCTTTCCTCTGTTTTCTTTCTCACAAGCCCCTTCTCCTCACACTCACTTTATCTGAAAAGTCAGATTTGATTGTGTTTACAGAGTTGAGCCCTTCTCCGGACGTGCAGGGATTTGATTAATTCCAACGCCCTCCATTTCTGAACTGTTGATAAAACACCGGCGCTAATGAGCAAACACATTCTGTACAAAGGGTCTCGGGAAGAAATTTAGGCTAGTTTTGGGAAGGAGAAAGTAGGAATGGAGAACGGTGACAGAAGATGACAGGTTGATGAAAAGGAATGCTCGGCTCCAATAACATTATTCTCTGCGCTTTCATGAGGGCACCGCTTTATGATTTCTCCACCTCAACTATATGTTTTTACTGGGCGACACATTCAAAGCACATGTCAGTGGAATTAGCACCGTATGCCATACAGCCGGGCTCCTCCTGAGGTCCAGGGCTGGTGGTTCTGTGTGAGTTCTGTGACTCAGAGCCCCTGATGTGTGTTTTTCTTTTACTTATCCTGGAACAGAGGCGCGCTGCCCACAGCTTCACTGCTGTGTTGATTTCTGTGGTTTTGCCGCACCTCGCAGCTGTGTGACCAAGTCTTTGAAAGTCCTCCTTATTTCACTTTGGACCTCTGAGGTTTGATGTACTCCAAACATCCAAGGCTATCATCACAGACTGGCCCAGGTTATGGGGACGAGCTCGGCCGTCATGGTGATCTCAGCAGTTGGATTCAGAGCAAACTTGTAAAAGGAAAAGCCTATGCTTTGAAGAAAGTTCCAAACATTGGTGTGGAATCTCCCTCTGAACGAGGAAAGAAAACACATATACACACGGGCAGGTGTACACACAAATACCCACTTCTTTTAATACCTATATGACTGGCCAGAGGGATGGAAGATAAATATGATTTTTATATAAATAAGGGTGCATTGTGTTAACTGTTTCACAAGATCAAGAAGGTTTAGAAATCTAAACTGAAAACTTTGAATTATTCAGAGTTTTTTTATATAATATGCAGTATTAATGCATAGTCATGGAAAACCTGAAGTGAGATAAGAACATAAATCAGAGACAGCAGATTAACGTGTGGGTGAGAATAAGGAAGATAGCAGATGGGGTTGAGAGATTAGGGTGTAAAAAAAATCCTGCTTTGCCCTCTGTTCAAACAGCATGTTGCATGAAAACCAGGCAACCCCCCACCCCTCTCTCACTTTAGGCAAGAGCTGTAATGGGATTATATGACAGGGGAGCTGTTCTCTCTTGTAAAGAGGAGATGGACAGCAGTTTTAATTGTATTACTGCGAAGGCAGGAGCAACCTTAACGTTCACTGAACTGACACAAACGTTGGGCTTTTAACCTGCACTGTTACCATTTAAACAAATTGTCAAGATTCCAAACAAATAAATCTTATATCTCAGTGTCAAAGAAAACACGGAAGCAACCACCAACACTCAAGGAATAGTATAAAGTGTTTCCACTTCTTACTGAATGTGACATCTATATTCCTATTTCTCTCCCTGGTTCTTGAAATGCTTTTACAACTTAACCAGAGCCCATTTCTGCCCAGCTGAATTTACTGGACATAAATCAGGAAAGCCTCACGGTTGAAGGTGTACATCTGAGAAAACTCTGAGAAGAGGGTAAAAGAACTGGTTGTAGTCCTGAGAATACAGACTGTGTCAAGGCACCGATGTAGGGGGAACGAATCATCAAATTTCCTGCTGCAGTGTAAGTGCCCCAAAGCACATAGCCTCAATCACTCTTAAATGGCACAAGTTTCTAAGCACTAACAGGCTTCCATGAAGTAAAAGTGCAGACAAACCTCATATTATATGATAGAGCAGAGTACTCAGATAAAATAAATTTTGGTTATATCTGAGAAATGTAACAAGTTTTGTTTGGGCATGGTAAAACAAAAAAGATAACTCCAATAGAGAATGGTTTTGAGTAGGGATGCACGATATATCGATACTGATATCGGTATTGGCCGATATTGGCAATTTTTTTGAATATCAGTATCGGTCCAATATAGAAAACTGGGCCGATATTAACGTCAGACATTGACTTCCCACTTTTAGCTTTGAGTTTCTGTTTTGGGAGGGGAGATGGTTGGCTGAGCAGCATCTGTTTGATCATGATAGTGATACTGATGCTGCATAACCAGGAATAACTGAAGTAGGGAGTCATGTCAGAGGTCTGGTCATTTATTTATGCTATCAAAAAAAGACCCAAGTGTGTTTTTGTGTATATGTATAATATAAATTGTGTGTTTGTGTAATATCGGTAAATATCGGTTATCAGCAATAACAGCAATAATTACATTGGATATCGATATCGGCTGAAATTTTCATATGGGTGCATCCCTCGTTTTGAGAAGTTTAAAGGATCTAAAAACCCTTTGTCATCTATTAACTAAAACATGTTCTTAAACGCCCATAATGTTTCTCTCATATAGCTTGTTTTGATCAACCATCAACGGCAATAAAATCATCTTATTGTGAGACAGGATGCAATCATAGCTGTTTTGTTCAAACCTCGTAAATTACTTTATGAACAATCTTATGCAATATGGGAGGATTTTACAAGATTGTGTTAGGTTTTCAGATATGAGTTGAGGATTACTCTCAGCTACTACATCTCAATGTAATTTCACTGTGCTCCATACAATGACAATCGTCAAATGTTAGGCTCAGTATCTATCTATCTATCTATCTATCTATCTATCTATCTATCTATCTATCTATCTATCTATCTATCTATCTATCTATCTATCTATCTATCTATC